CATCTTTATCTTGCTCTCGATCATCATCGAGAACGAGGTTCGTAATCGTCCAGGAGGGAGGAAAGAGACAGATCGGGGATGATGAGACTCACCCTTACGGGGTTAGACCGTCGCGATGGAAGCCTCGTTGGCAGCGCGGACGACCATCGTACTCGCGTCGAAAACGGCAGTAGTGGCAGTGGCAGGACTGGCGGTACCCACGACGGTGGCAGTTATGATGACGTCGACGATGCTGTACGCGGAGAACGCGACGACAACGGCGGCGGTGACGGCGGCGGCGGCGGCGGCGACGACGACGACGGCGGCGGCAGCACCACGAGCGACGTTAGCGTTAGCGTAAACTGACGACAACGACGGGCAGTAGTCACTTTTCACCTCTATACGATCCGGAGAGGACACCATCTCCTCTTTGCCCGTCCTATCGCGTGCACACCCGACGACGACGACGCCGACGCCCGCACTGCTGCTGCTGCTGCTGCTGCTGCTGCTGACCCGCGTAACGACGACCACGCTATGGCACCACCGTGATCGCGCTACCACACCGAGTGACATCGTCGCAGTGTCATCATCGTCGCGCCCCTCGGCGTGCGCTCCGTTTTTTCGGCGTGCTGATTGCTGCTGGTGCTGCTGCTGGCGCCCGATCTGGCACCGTGTTTGCGCGACACGGGAAACACGAAACGAAAAAAAAAGGAAAAAAACGAACGAACGCACAGAACGCACGCACTCTCTCTTTCTCTCTCTCTCGCTCTCTCGTTCTCTCTCTCTCTCTCTCTCTCTCTCTCTCTCTCTATCTCTCTCTCACTCTCTCTCCCTCTCTCTTTCCTGCCTCCTCGTCGCTCTCTCACGCTCTTTCTCGCTCTGTCTCGCGGCGATTACACGCACGGGCACTCGCAGAAGACGGTGCTCGTCCCCTGATCGACTGCACGACACCGATGCCCGCTGATGCCAGGAGACGCCCCAACGCGGGGCACCCAGTTCGACGTATGGCGAGCGACGGCTCACCCCGCGATCCGCGTCTGTGCTCGGCCCGACTCGCGCAGTGCCGTAGAACGCGCGGAGGCGCGTGCCCGCCGCCGCCGGGGGCGGGTGGACGCACCCCCTCTCGCGCGACCTTACCTCAACCCTTCCTCGAGCGTGCTACATTTTCGCGCAGTATGCCCGTTTATTCGTAAACCTTCGAGTAACATTCTCGTAACGTTCTAAATTCCATAGTCTTTCGATATCTCTCTTTTCTCCTCGCTCTCTCTCTCCCTTTATCGAAACCCCACGTAAGCGGATCTACGATTGAAAATTGTCGATTTCGCCCATCGAATCGACTAAATCGGGCATTTTCGCGGGTCGCCGTAGCTCGCGGGGTAATTTCTCTCTACGTCCAGAGATTCTCCCTCGATTATTTCACGAGGGGAGAGGGACGAGCGATTTTAGTCGCGGGCACCGCGAGCCCTTCCGGGCGGCCTGGAACCGTCGGGCACTCAGCGGCAAGGCGGGGGGCTAAGGAAGCCCTTGAAATCAATAGCCAGCCGCTACTGCCGCCGCCACCCTGATCAGGCTGCTCTGCGCTGCATCCGTCGTTCCGCCACCACCATCACCGCCACCATCGCCGCCACCGCCTCCATTCTTCCCCCCTTCTCCCATATATACCCGATTTACCCGTACGGTGTAGCCGAAGAAGTCGTCTCGTGTCTGAGTTTAGTTCACAGCCGAACGTCTCTCGGTATCCAGCGTCATCGGTCATCGGTCATCGAGGAGGGAGGGGGAGCATGTGTGTCGTGGGAACGCGTCTCGCAGAAACTTTTCTATATGAAAATCAGTGAGACCCACTAGTCGTCTACCGCCTTTGCTTTGCATTACAGTAGGCTCTTTGCGACCTCGAATCGTATGGTGAATACGACACCTTCGGCCATGATCACTTTTATACAGAATTAAACAGTAGACGTAAAAATTTGTATTAAGTATAGTTTGCACGGCATCATAATGCGAATATGATGAGTATCAAGAATGAACGATACGTTTAACGTTCAAATGATCTCTTATAATCTCTTATATGAATTTCTATCTGAATTTACATTGTCACTTCTTCATTGAGACGATTTATCGTATCTGAAGAATGCTATTGTGAAAAAAGTCTGCAATTCCCTTTTTTCGAAATGTAAAGCAAATGTTTGAAACATATTGCCCCAGAATATTGCAGCAATTTTCTGTGCAATGGATCTAATTTAGTATTGTTTTTCGATATTAAATCATGAGCTATTACGAAAATTTTTATTTAAAGTTACGTTATATCACTCCGAACGTCTTTGATATTTAACATGACTTTTAGCGAAACATTACTATTAAAAATTTCAATCAAGCGCAAATACAACACAATTAGCGGAGAATATATTTGACGTAAACGTTAAGTAAAGATTCAGTTATACCGATGACGTAAGTATCGAACGGAGAACGTAAGAAAAGGACTTACCTCCGCTGGCCGATTCACGATAACGTCCTACATTTGAAAACTTTATATTTTGACGTTTTTACCGCAACGGGGGTGGGTACCCACCTCCCTCGATATGACCGAAAATACAGACGCGTAGAGAGACATCGTAGATTGCGGTCTGGTTATGAGTTGACCTACTCTAGTTTGGATCTACCTACGCGCTTTTTCTCCCTCCCTCCCTCTCTCCCTCTCTCTCTTTTAGTAGATACTACCCCCTTCGGAAACTGTTTCGCGTCATGAAGGTGCTTGCTCGAATTGTTTCTCGGCATTTTTTATCTTGTCAATAAATGTCTCTTCATTCTCTCCTTCGTTCAATTTTGTCCGTACAATCTATATTTTATCTTTTAATATACTAACTTTTTATATTGAAAACTATGTCTATTAATATTTAATTAACGTTAATCTAATATTTAGATTAACATACACACATTACATTCAAGTGGTCGATAGGAAAAATACATCAATAATATAAAGACGAGTCAGGAAATATAACGTATCTATCACTGTGAAAAAGGTCATCCAAACAGCCACCTGACATAAATATATCATATTCTTGCTTTTAAAAGAATTTATCGCGAAATTGGATTGCCTTTTTTATGTCTAAGCCTTTGAACTCTTCGTGTATCGGATAAAATGTTTTTCAATGACGAATGCCGCTTAAGAATTTCGATATCAATTTTAGATTTTAGGTTTTGGATCAACAATTTTGATATAATCATTTGAAAATGTAATTGAAGGAATAATTGTATATCTACATGTTGGTTTCGCAACATATATCAGAAGATCTGTATACAATATATTCTTTAATGGAATATTTTTATTCAAACACGAGTGTTAACGAAATCGCTGTTAATAGATTAGTCGCACGTGACGATTTAGTCACGCATAAAGCAAAACTTTCGGTGTAATCATATATAATTATATGTATAACAATCGTATGTGTAGATCATATTTGACAAATTCTCTTTTGATATCTGTAATAAAATCTCTAACGTAGTATATGTATATATATAAGAAATATTTATATTATATGTATTGCATACTGATTATTTTCTACGGAATATGGAGAGTGTCTTTGGTGCACGAGGTGAGAAACGTGCATTCGCCTCTCTTAGGCGAATATACATATATATATATATCATATGTTTCAAATTCATACATGTTACAATATTCTGTTTTACAAAAACACGACATATATCAGACTCGAGTTAATTAACTCGATCATTAATACACGGGATGTACATGTAAAATATATATATATATATATATATATATATATATATATATATATATACAGAGTGCTCCTAAATTCGCGATAAATATTTTAATGACAAATTCTTTGTACATTTTAAGACGAAAATTCTAATACGAAAATGAGGCTATAATAGTTTTAAAATGCGAAAGGTTTTAAGATCACGAATGACAGAGCTAAAATTTTGCGCTCAGGGGTGGCAAAATGGCTAATAATAAAGATGCTTCCATGAATACTTTTGATATTGGTAAAAATATTTAAGAATTTCATTAAAACTTTCATTGTGATTTCATTAAAAATTTCATTGTGATTTTTAAACTTTTTCCATTTGAAAACTATTAAAAGCCTCGAAATTTTCGTATTAGAATTTTCGTCTTAAAATGTTATAAATAATTTGTCATTAAAATATTTATCGCGAATTTAGGAACACTCGGTATATATGTATAAGGAGAGATACAGCTCGAATTTTATACGATTCAAAATCTAAGATCGTTCTTCCGCTGTAAGAGTCGCTGAGTCCTTGTCACGTGCCCGAAACATAACAAGAATATCGAAATTGAAAACAATATTATTGAGAGAGAGAGAAAGAAAAAAATATATATATTCGCCTTTTCTTGAATCAGAAACTCGTACAGCGATGGAAGTTCACACCGATATAAATATACATGTTGGTCGACAACGTTCTTGAACTATTAACGCGCGTTCCCAACTAATGAAAATTGCATACGATGAACGCGCTTACAACACGCGTTTTAATAAAACGTTTTCTTTTACATATATGTTTTCTTATGTATGTGTATTATATATTACAACCGTGCAAAACACGGGATCCGTAGTCCGTAGTTTGCTAAAAAGATTACCAAAGACTAAGTTGGAGATGTAAAAAAAAATTCTCGGAGCGATAGAGGAAGCCTGTAAATTTGAAATCGTGTTATACGCTATATTGCCTCTAGTTCTAAGGCACAGTTATATAAATATTTCTATAGCTGTGTGTGATAAGTATTATGTTCAACAATAGTACCTTTAAACGTAACAACCTGTGATCAATCCATCACTCGCGAATTCTGAAACTCGACTGATCCGATCGACTCGTCTTCTTCCGTGGACTTCTTGACAAATAATACCTTGTTTATAAATCGCACTAGAGAAGTCGCTCTACGCGCTAAAAGCGTACTTCCCAAATACATCCTTAAAATCACCATACACCGTAACTTAATTCAAACGATAGCTAAAGCAGAGAGGTGCATAATTCAAAACCCTTCTCCATTTTTGATATCCGAGACATATCTTTATTCGTTATTTTCGTAAGACAAACATAAAGAAATAAAAAGTACACTTTCTCTGAAGCGTCAAGTAAATTCATTCAATGCATTTTAACGGTTGTGTTTTTCTTTTTTTTGTTTTCATTTAATATAGCCAATGCTGGCGATTACACAGCGACCAACACAACCAATTGTTGAATCATGAACCACTACTCTTCATCAGCCAGGCTCGCTTCTGATAACCCCTTCTTCCCCTCCGACCCCGACTATGTATTTTCAAATGACACAGTACATGCGCAACGGGGGAATAAGAATAGTGCTTGATACCGAACTGAGCGAAGAAGCAGCAACGGTTCGACACTTTCTGGTTCCCAAGTTGTACAAGATACATGTAGTGAAAGAGTCATATATATATATATATAAAGAAAGATGCTATTTTATGTGACAGTAATAGCACCTTCACTCGTTCGTGTGTGATCTTTTGCACTAGTACAGCCCGGCTTATTCCGAATGAGTGGTTTACAAATTCGAAAAAGAACTTATCAATCAGCGAAAAAGAACTTATAAATCCCAGCGATTTTAAAACAATACAAATAACGAATAACGATTTTAAATATTTTGTAACTATAAAATTGTTATTCGTTACTTGTAAGAGTGCATTTTATTCCTGTTTCAAAGACAGGCGTAAGTTACAAAGAGAAAATCCCCTTACAAAAAACACACGAACGAAAACGTAACTATAATAAATACAAAACCGAGCGTTATTTAGCCGTTCTTTAATCAAATTTATTTCTTAAAAAAAAATAGAAAGACAAATGAAAAAATTTTAATCTAATATTATCAGGTTAAGCACACACCCGTAACGAGCAGCTCTATTAATGTACACCACTACCGTTCATGTTTATAGCATTTATTATGAACATTCGAGTAACGCGATGTTTGAAGTCTGTGTCTGCGATCGAACGATGACATGTGACGGCAGAAGACAGGCTAAAAAAACTTGGGGGCGGTGGGGATACACTGAGGTATACAATAAGATAAAAGTTGTTCAGATTAGTTTTCCCAGCAAATAACCGACTATGACCATGGCAATGGCGATGAGGACACTAGTTGATGTCGGAGATAACTGGCTATTGCTCTGCGAGGTTAGAACTCTAGCTGCTGCAAGGTTGCCGTCGTTGCCCAACGCTACATTTCGCCACTTCATTAAATCTTCCTGCGAGCAAACAAATACAATCACATTATTGATAGATTTCTCGAAGTAAACGATTTTTAAATTAATAACATGGAAACTTATGGTTAATTTCGTAATTTTTTTTTCTTAAAGCAAATAATATCAGAAATGGAGAATGTTTTCATTAAATTTTATATCGAGGAAGGAAGAGAAATTATTTATTAAAGCAATTCTATCTTTGAAAAAGCAGAAGATCGCCAACTTTAACAATTCTATTTTTAATATTGGTAAAATTTAAATAAATCTGCAGAATTTAGCTATTATATCTAAAATTTGATAAATTTATGTTATACAGATCAACAAAACTAGAATGTAAAAATCTATATTTAAACATAATTATTACTTAATTAAACATAATTATTATTTTTATTAAACCTTATTGATTTAATCATTGATATTTACCCTAAGTTGAAGATTCTCCTGCCTAAGCGTGCTTTCTTCTACCCTAAGCTGATTAACCTCTTGTGCAGCCTTTAACAACTTCTCCTCTGCCTCACCAAGTACCTGAAAAGAATTATTATTCACAGATTAATTCAAGATCTAATAAATCGTTGTTGCACAATTTTGTATATAACATAACACATAATTACATCTCACCTTTGGTGACGATTTGACCGAATCGCCAACTGTCTTATTCTTTCCATTAGTCGCATTAGAATCTGGCTTAGTTGTCGTAGTAGTTGCAGTCGTTTTAGCCGTAGAAGTAGTACTAGTCACGGGATTTTCAAAGACGCATTTCAGTTTAGAATCCATTAACTGATCCGGATTTATATCCTTCCACTTTAAAGATCAATGTACATGATTTATTACAATGAATATATTATAATAAATAAATAAATTTCACAATTAAAATTGTAGAGAAACATTATTAAAACAGTTTCAATCATGGTACATACTTTACTTTGTTAACTAATATATTATAATATCACGTTAATAATATTCACTTACTACATCAACTGGGTATTCATCATCATCATCATCTGGTGCTATTACGGTTTGCACCATAAATTTGTGTTTGTTTTTCTCCGACGGATCAAAATCATACGGTTGTAAGCATACTGTAATAAAACGATTTGATATTGGATTATAAAATACATTTTTTAAATTTTAGTGTTAGTGTAAATTTAATATAAAAATATATTCATATTTTTTTTGTGACTAGACTGACCTGCTATTTCAATGACATCCTTTGGCTTGAGGACTCCAGAATTTGGACGTACACAATATCTCTTTGGAACAGTTGTCTTTATCTTAAAATATACTTTTTTATTCGTTGGATTAATTAATTTTATGTACGATGTGACTGGACCTCCTGTAAAAGGGCCTGTAACAAAATAAATGATAAACAAATTTAATTAAAGCAGATATAGAGCCATATTAACTAAATTCAGAGACAAAACGAAAAATTTTCTTTTTATATTTATGTATATTAATAAAAATTATATATATTAATAGAGTACAAAAATATCACAATAAATCAATAGCAAATGCTAAAAAGGGGAGACTATTCTGGAACATCTGCAGCAAGTATAAAATAATATAAATGGATAATCAATATATATTTGATGATTATCATATTTTCTCACAAGTTATGTAATATTCATCATTTTGATATATTATTAAAACTAATAGTATATTTCTTTGAGATGTCTTTTTTTCAAGAACATCATACATTTAATGCATTTAATAAATTAAATAAATAAATAAATATATATATATATATATATATATATGCATGTATGTATATGTATACATACACAACACACACATTACGTTTCTATAGATTTAATAAATGTACTCCTAAAGAAGACTATGCACTATTGTATTAATCAATGATTAATAATATTGATTAATCATTTTATAGTCATTGAACAAAATTTTGTATAAGATATATATACTTAAAAAACAGTGAGAAATAAAAATCAGAATTCTAAGAACGATATAAATATATTATTTACAGACGTGACAAGTGTCAATCAGAAAATAATAGAATAGCTCAATGACTATAAAAATCAGTTACTAGCTTACATTATTATAAACTTTAGCATTACTGATTATCCTTTGTCACAAGTGTCACATGTAGAAAAGCTACATGTAAATTCGATATATAGAAGGAAAAAATAACAGGAAATGTAAAGCACGCTCGACATAGATTAAACGAATTTTACATACGATATCTTATTTTCAATTCTAATGCATTTTTTAAATCTCGATAACGTTCGTTCGTCGATTCTTCCAGGCAGTATGCTGTGTGCAATCGACACTAAAGTGTGTTTGTCTCTTATAAACGCACATATAGCGCGCACCGGTCATAGTCGAAGGACATAACATCGTTCAATTTAAGCATAATTAATGATACTCTTATCTTTTTAGCGACAAAGTATAGAGTACAATAGTATAGAGAAGCATGAAACATAAATGTGTCCTGTAAACATTTTTCCAGATGATTATGCGAAATTATATGCACGTGCATTTTGCGAATCTCGAGGAAATTTGCGTATGCAAATCTCGCTTTACATGGAATTATTGTTTCCGAAAAGAGCACGTGACGCGCGGATGAATTTTACGTGCGTTGGTGGACGCGACATTGTTGAAATTTCGTAGTAAAACGACTTGGAGAATTGTGGAAAATTGTGAAAGAGACTGGGCACTATAAGAGAAGTCGCGATCTATTACAGGCGCTTCCCGTTACAAGGCATAAATAAACGAAGCCCTTATGGATTAGTGGCGCGTATAGCGGAGCTAAGTGGAGCAGTGGTATAAATTCAATAAATAGGTTTTCCTCGTATCGACGATTAATAATCGTCGGTGAAAGGTATCGGGACAATGTAGACCATAGCAGCGATCGATGGCACTCGTGTGTTCCCATCGGTTTTCAAACCGATTCCGTTTCCCGATCTTCCCCTCGTCGTGAAAAAGGAAAAGAGAAAATTTTCGCATCTGCTCGCGGAAACCGTGAGAGAGAGAGAGGGCGCGAGAGCCACCATTCTGCTATTTATTCGCCCGTTTCGTCGAACACGTACAAGATTCGTCGAAATCCTTTCTCGAAAGGAGGAACGGGGACGAAGGAATCGGAACAATCGGCGCCGAGAAACGAGCAGGTCTCGCTCTCCTTGTCTCTCTTTCTTTCTCTCGCGCGGCTCTGACAGCAAATTGACGTACGGACAGATAGGGTTAGGTATGAGTTAGCGACATTGCACGTTTCTTGTCGAGAGGAGCACGGCGCGCGACCCCCGGATGCACGCACGAGTACGCGCTATAACGCGCATTCCGTCGCGCTGTGTCGAGGAAAGCGATCGAGCGAGCGAGAGCGAGCGACCGCGCGTGCGAGACAAATCGGCCTTACGTCATCTTGACGACGTCAAGCCGAGCACCCGCTCCGTGTGCAAGTTCTCGTCATGATGTAAATGCGTGCTCCTCGCGCGGCTCGACGACACGGCTTGACACGCGACTAATAGCCGCGATGCTCGGCCCGTAAAGACGGGGAAAAGGAAAGGAGGGAAGAAAGAAGGAAGAAAGGAATAAAAAAAATATATATATACGACGCAGTCGAGGATGATTCCTCGCCGCGTTTCTTTTTTTTCTTTCTTGCAGCGTACCTCTGAATCGGAGCTCGCTCTGCGGCTCGATAATTAAAACTTGCTCGGGCTTTTCCACGGGCTTGGATGACATCCTGACTGGCGGACCAAGACGAACTTTACGAGGAACGACGAGTCACGGCGTTGTTGGTGTCTTCTCTTCTTCCACCACCACCACCTCCTCCTCCTGTCTGTCGAAGCGCCAACGGTGGTCGACGCGTTTTCGGCCCCGCGTATTGACAGGCTTTACTTTGTCGCTCCTCTCGTCGCGATTCTCCGCTCGGCTGCGTCGGCCGTATATGTCGTGTCGTCTCGCGTCGTATCGTTTCGTGCCGTATCTTTTCTGAGATTCCGTTGGACTGATTCTGATTCGCGGCTGACGCTCAATACGCATGCGTCACGACGGATATTGTCCGAGGCGCAGAGGCCGCGTTACGTCACGTCGCAGTCGGTAACGCGGCCGATTCGCATTTAATTGCACCTTTGGCCTATACACCAGGCCTGCCCGATCAGGCGGTCGGAAAGATAAATATATTGAAGTATTTATAGGAAATTTATTAAAAAGGAAAACAAAAAAATTCATGTAAATACGATATAATAGTGCCAACGCATTGCATATCTCTCTAATTATAAACACAAATAAGAACTGGTTTTTTAAAATTCTTTTTAGAATTATTATTTATAACTTCATTTATTCTATATATTTAACATTTTGTAAATAAAAACAGAGCGATACTTTAATTTTAATTTCAATTTTATTCGAAGCAATCAGATTATAAATCTGTTAAATTGCATAAATTCGTTTAATTGCATTTTCCATACTTATATTTATAATCTCTACTGAATTATATTTCTATCGCTATTCTATTACTTATTCATATATGCTTTCTGTTTCGATATATCTTCAGGAAATTTATCACGAATTAGTCATCAAGAGACACATATTTCGACAAAAAATGTGTTGTAACGCACTAATGATTAGATTAAAAAAATATTATCATTCTGAGTGAAAAGATATTTCGATGAGAGGTGAAGTAATAAATAAATCACTAATTGATAGCTTAACAATCGAAGATTTGAGCTCTGATAGACTGATATAATATTGAGGAAATATTTCAATGAGAAGCAAATCGAATTAAAACTAATGACTTACTAATTGACATTTAAATCCCCCGAACACTGATGATCGTTTCGATATTAAGCGACGTGATTTGATAAGAGATGATGCGATAAGATTTTCTTTCGGTGCAAATTTTTAAAATTTTTCTCATACATTTTGACCTCTTTTAGTTTAAAAAATCATCGCAGCATCTGGATATAAAAATATACTCCAATTCTCAGTTTTCTTCATTCATATTCTAGCGACGCATGTGCAGAATAAAAACATATGATGCGCATAATTATGGGTCTGTTCTTTTTAGCTGCACTGCTGCACTAGTGCAATAAGTTAAGAACAGGCCATGTGTAGCCATAACCTGATATAACCTAACATTAGTTTTTCGAAATTTAATGTTAGAATACAGAAAAGAAAAGATAATTAATGATATTGCACTGTATTGCACTAAAAATTGCTGTAAATTAAAATTCTTCTGTTTTTGCCGCTCTTGTGATTTGGAAAAAAAAGATATCGCGAACAATATATGATGGAGAATTGGAATATTCCTAATATAAACGGGGATACTTTTAGAAACATGTTATTCTCAGATCGGTCATCTGTCGTTAATAAGAATTTGCAATTTCTCTTAATTTATGATGGTAAAGAACATGCAGATTAATATCTAGATATCTCTCAGCCTATTTACATATATCTCGATTTTTGTTGCAGAACACAATGCTCTTCTTGGAGGCACTAACATGAATGACCTGTATTGGACTGGTACTATCTGGCATTATAATGACATCTCAGATTTTACTAGGAACAAGGCTGCTATAACGCAGCAAATGAACAATGGCATTTGCGATGCTGTTTACCTAGGACATAACAAATTTGTTGTCGTAGAAGATAGCGGTGCAGTGCAAATCACTGAAATAGTTCAATTAACAAACGAACAGTCTGAATTTCAATTTCTTGAACGCGCTTGCCAGCATGACGATAGTATTTTGACAGTATCTGGATTTTCTAATAAAAGAAATATTGTCACTGGAGGAATGGATTGTTGGTAAGATGTCTTAAAGTACACGTTATGGTGAATCCTGCCAGTGAAATAAAGAAGGAATATTAATCTTATATTTATTACAGTTTAAAAGTCTGGGACATTGAAGATTTAGTAGCAACATATTCATATAATTTTGCACATACAGATATTATTACCAGTACGGATGTAAAGCCTATGTGTAGCTCCGAATTTATATCCACTTCTTTAGATGGTGAATCATTACTATGGGATATTAGACGGGCTAAACCAGCACATTGTATTTATCACTTTTAAACAAAACACAACGATAAACTCGTTGTTTATATTTACTTTATTCCACAATTTGCTTCATATTTACATCATTTTTTTTGTTTTTTTTAGGTATCTTCAAGAGACACGATTGCCACTTATTAGCAGTAACTTGGAATACTGTTTCGGATCATCTTATAGCAGTGGGTGCAGCTGATGGTAGCATTGCATTAATTGATGTGAGACAAACAGAGAATCCATTATATGAATCAGTTGAATTTAACAGAGGCATACATAAATTATTATTTAATCCAAATCCGGAGAGGTAAGAATTTACTATAAATATCGATTTACACAATTCTATAACAGTTTATAAAAAACAATTTTTATTAAGACTTAGGAAAATTTAACATCTCTCAATAGTAACGAATTTAATAATGATATTCTTTCATTTTTGTAGAAAAGAACAATTAGCATGTTGCTCCGATGACACATTTGTGAAAGTATTTGATACCTATAGAGAGATGCTACCTATATTTGAGAATAACAGCCATAGTGATTTCGTACAAGGACTCGCATGGTACAAAGATGACTTATTTTCATGTTCTTGGGACGGAAGTGTGATTAAACATGTAGTATGTTCTAGTGACAATAATTCAAGTTAATAATAATACATCAACATTTTTTGACACTAATTATTAAAATATTTTATAATAAAATTTTATTCAATTTATCCTTTAATCCATGTATTAAGTAAAATACTTTATATAAGGAAAATATCATATATAGTCATATACAAATAAATGATGGAATATTTTTGAATTTGAAGCTACATATTGAGCTACATACTATACATGACATTAATTTAAAACAAATTTGCAAAGAATGTAAATTCAATTTTGATATTATTATTTTCATTGTGCAAGTAATATGGGATGTGACGAAATTTACTGCATTTAAAATAATGGAAAACATTCTTCTTTCATATTTATTCAAATCTCTTGATCATTTCGGACATTTCTATAACAGTTATTATGCTCTCTGTGATTATTCAATATACTATTATTGCAAAAACACACAAAAATCGTGTATTTGAAATGTATGCTATTATCGTTATTACATAACGGTAATCTAAAAGAGTCAGATAATTGAGTGAAAGGCAAAATTCCTGTATCTCGAATCTTAAATATCGCAATATCCCTAAAATAATTCAAACAAGTTTTTGTTTTGTTTTGATCCTACAATGTATACAATGTATATAGTGTATCCAACAGGATTTTATTTACAAAATAAAATCAAAGAGAAAGCAATGATAAAGTAAACAAAATATCGCAAATAAAAATCTATAATTATAAGTCTATAAAGTGTTTAAAAAGATTGTTAACCAATAGTATATTGAAGATGGCAGATTAAAGAGGTAATACATAATGTAATATATATAATTCCGGTAAAATAAAAATGTGCACAGAAAATAATATATATTTTTGTAATATATATATTGTAATATATATATTGTAATATATTGTAAAGAATGTATTCTAGTAATATATTCTTTATATATTCTTTGTGCCACAGTAAATTATTTTACCGGAATATACAATATATAACATTTGTATTTTAAGTATTTTAAACACTTAATTTTCATATTCTTGTACTGCAATTTGTGTAAGATTGATTTGTAGGACATCTGCATAAATAATTTCTTGTAAATACATTAATATCAAACTCGTTTATGTATATAATGCGATACATATACGTGAAATTTACTTGAAAGAGACACTAGAGAAAGGTGGTATAATTGTACAGTATCTTTCCTTCGGATTATTATATCTCCATTTTTTTTATGTATTTGTGTTATATTGAATCTACGAGCGCGCGCGCGTGCACACACTCGCATACACATCATGTCATTTGAAAGTTGAAACCGTTATTTCTCAGATGACCCTATATCGAATGTCGTTTTAATTGAAAATATTTTGCTGATATTCTGATATTCTGCTGATATGAATTTTTTTCTATTTTTGTCAACCTATCAGTGCTCAATTATATTTGCGATTACAAACATTCTACAGCTATATAAAATCATCATCTTTGCATATAAAAATTTCAAAAGAGTAGCACGCGCACATTAGTTAAATATGATTATTTATAGTTTTATAGGAAAAGCAAGTAATTAATATATCTAACATGATTGAACGTATCTAATATATTGAATTGCACATTGAAAATTTTATATGGATGGAAAAAATTGGATCCTCAAACAATTTATATTTGCAGCATCAGTTAATAACGAATCTTTATATCGATGAGAATACAATGTGACGTCAACGATCGCATGATTCGTTCAAAGATTATCTGCATGCGCACTTGTTTATTGTATTACAGAAATTAATAAAATTGTTATGTACAATCCTTTTTTATATATTGAGATATATAATTGCAATTTGCGACTAACATGTTGTAATTCCCGTATCGACATTCATTATTCTTATTTTTACCTATGCAGCATACATAGTATCATATACCTATTATATACCTGTTTTTTTCTTTTTTTTGTTTTTTTTTGTTTTTATAACATGATCTGTCCTTTTCTTCCCCATCAATAATGTTTTCCCCATATTTGAGCACTTATATCAATTACAACCCAAACTCTTTGTCGTCATCCTCCGGCCTTACATCTCCGTACATCCAAATATTGCGATGATTGTGCTTCGCATCTTCCTCAGCCTTCTTGTATTCCTCAATCTGTAAATTAGTATACACAATCATGTAAATATAATTGTAATATACTTGTAAATATATAAATAATTTGTTAATATAATATTCTTATAATAATTCTTATCAATATAGATTAAATTAAACCACAAAGATAAAGTCGACTAACCAATTTAACGAGCCTCCTATCTCGGTGCTTTTGAACGTGCAAAAATCCATCAGAGATAAGTCCTTTTCCAATGTCTTCATTTGTGTTCGAGTGCATTAATGTCACGGCAATTACATTGTTGCTTAACTTATATTCAACATTTAATAACAAAATTTTATCCAATACATCTTCCTTAAATGCATCAATAGCCGCTCTCTTGTCATCAGTCTGCAAATTAAGTACATTATTTGAGCATAATTGTGCATGTTTCCAAAAAAACGATACACAAAAATGTTACTTACATCACTCGGAAGAGTTACGCACGCGAGGGCATATTCGTGGGCATACGGTTTATCAGTCGCGAAGCGTGCAGGTAAATCTGCGACCCGTGTAACATTAAGAGTCTCTCTGTTACCGTAATCAATATAGAATACGCTAACATTAGTGCCAGAGACCTTTTCTGTTTTCACGCGATACCATTGATCATCACCACTGAATTTCGCGACCGCTAAATCCCCCCTAGTCGGTTTGTAAGCGCCAGGAAGTGGCGGATTAGCAGCTAACTCTTGACGCAATTGCAGAAGCATGTTCTCCAACAAGGTACCTTGATCAACAAACTGAGCATAAAAGTGAAGATCATCAGTAACCTCGGAAATCACAACCTTTTGATAATCGATCTTGCGCTCTTGTCCTTCCTTTTCATCTACGATCTTGTCGTTTTCCACTGGCGCTTCCACGCGATTCTTCCAAATCTGTGAGGTAAAATATTACGTTCCAATTATGTTATTATCTCCAATTAATCGAATGTATATATACTTGCATATACTTACATTGAGTTTTTTTGTTTTAGCACGTTCCTCCGCGGCTTTAAGAGTCCTCGTGAGTTCTCCAGAGTCTGGGAAATTCACAACTTCAGCCAAACCTTCTTCGACCAGAGCGACGGACATATTGACGTCATTCACTGTTAACCAGCCAATGAAACCACTTAACTTTGTTTCCGTATTCTCAATCTTGATCTCTACATCTCGTTGGAAACAATGTTCCTTGGTGAAAGCCAGTGCTTTCTCGCCATATTCGTCAGCTTTTACTACTCCGCCACCAGGCAGTGTTCTTTGACAACGCGGAGTTCTTATTCCAGCCAATACAAATGTAATAACGTAATCCTCCTTGGGAAGATAGAGTTTCAAACGTGAGCCGCTGGTTACGAATTCAACAACTCCTCTAATTCCTTGCGCTCGCTTGAGCGAAGTCAAGAATGCTTTCGCTTTCGAAGGATCATTTGAGAGATCCACTATTCTGTGAACTGGAATGTCTTTTTTTGCATGCAGTCCATGTTGTGATTTTTCCGCTTTGCTTTCAGCGACCTGCAGGAGATTATAATGAGAGGAACGCTGATCGTCATTTTGTCTATACTTGATAACTCGTGCAAGACCTCGAGCGACCAATGCTTCTGCGATATTTCTGTCGACATGATAAAAAAACAGAAACGATTAATAATTCTTAGCAATTTTTTATGTAAATCGTTGAAAGCAATAGCGAATCTCTAATTTACTTACGTTTTGCCGAAGGTTACCGTGCAGCACAACTTTTCCGGAAAGTTGTCTCTAGCCGGCTGCGTATAATCTACAACTACTTTTACATTCTTCCTGATGAATTTCTCACGCAAAAATTCTCGCGCTTCCAACATCCATGGTATGTCGTAAAGAGGTCTAAAATCTTTTGATCGAGCAGTATTATTGCCATCTTCAATGTTTTTCTTCTCACGAGTAGGTGGTCGAATACTGCTCAGAAATACTTTCTTGTTCTCTCCATTCTGCGTTCGAATAATAAGTGCGTCCGCGTTAATGATTTCCACAATGGTGCCGGTAAACTCAATCTGTGGACCGGATGGTTTATAGTCTTTCCAAAGACGCAAACGCGCCTCCTTTGCGGCCTTTTCGGCGAGATACAATTTCTCCGCGCCAGCTCTACTATTGCTAATTGACCAATCCTGACATTTGGCGAAACCCTCACTCAACAGGATTTCAGCAATATTTCCTATAAAAAATACATAAAAGATACATAAACTAATCCTATAAAAGATACATAAACTCAATAGTTTTTCGAGTATTTAATTTTTAGTGTATTGATTGTTGACAATTATTCTGAACATACTCTAAATTACTTGCCTTTAGGATGAATAATGCTGCCGATAAAGTTGTTATTGTTGACCGATTCCAGCACTATTTCAACATCCCTGTGTAAGAGTCGCGATTCCACAAAGAATCTGGCTTCGTCCGCATAAGGATCGCCGACGGAATTTTCACGACGCCCATTGGGCCAGCCAGGGCAACGAACACCCGAGATCATCAGTGTTATATTGTAGAAATCGGGCAAGAGGAATGCTTTAACAGTGGAGCCATCAAATACAAATTCGATCACTGCTTTGACAGGTTTCTTGCCGAATTTCTCAACCAATTTTCGGGGATCATCGACGGTCCATTTGATATCGCGTATGTGCTCGGAGGTCGGCGAATCTGACCATTTTCCTTTCTTTGCAGCTTTCGCAATATTCTCCAATTCAACCAATCGCTGCTGATCAGCTGTAGGATTGCGATTATCCTTTTTAACAGTCACCAGACCCTCAGACACCAAAGTTTCAATCACATTTTCACCATTCCTATCTAAAATGCAAAGCGATGATTGCAATTAAATATAACAAACTTGTCTTAATTTCGTTATTGTAATTAGTGCAACTGTACCTTTTCCTAACCAGACTGTTCCATATGTTCTAGGTGAATTGACCGACTTTTCAGTGGCAAAAGTGACATCTTGACCAATCAACTTCCGACGTAAAAATTCTCTTGCTTCCCAAGCATACGGTTCATCTTTGGTCTCATCCGTGCTACAGAGATATATATACAGGTACAAGTTAATATTTTATTATTTTCACAAAATTAAATTATTATTCATAAAATTATCAAAATCATAGTTCATATTATACATAGAGAATTTAAAAATAATTTTAAAGAATCTCTATAAGTAGAAATTTTGTATTTATATCTAAATGTTATGATTATATACATACCTATCATTTCCTTTCCAACGTTCTAATTTTGGAGCAGTAATGTTACACAAAGTAATTGTTACTTCAGGTGGAGGACCTCCCATAGGCTGTCCACGAATAACAACAGTATCTCCAGATGTTACCTTTGGAAAAAAAGTATTGCATCTTGAAAAAATTTAGGTACATCTCCAAAAATATCTAACACTGTATGATTTCTTGAATAAGAATATTTATTATGTATATAATTGTTAATAGTTTTCATAGAACATTTTCTAAGTTATAACATACTCTTGGCAAAAATATTTGAGATAAAGTAAAGGAAAAGTGAAATAAAATTATATTAAATATTCTTATTAATATTATACAAATATTCGGTACAATGTTTGCTAAAGCATGTTGTTAGGGTTGTCAGATTTTTGGTTTTTGTCTGGAATTTTTGGCTGAAAAACAGAAAATTTCCCAATTGCTCTATGTAAGATTTTTTCTTTTTTTGCATGAGCACGTTTTTCATACATATTCCTAATCACACTATTTAATTTGTCATTCGCGCGCACGTTTGATTATGCAATCGTGCTTTCTTTTTTTTTGAATTAATTTGTGGGCGAGTCTTTATACCGACCTGACAACCCTGAAAATGCCGTTAAGATGATACTTTAGATTTTGTAACCATATGTTCTACAGCCTGTTTCTTGCCAGCTGGGCGAGCAGACAAGAAGTCAACATCGCACGGCGGCAATAATGAGAGTCACAAGAATCGCTGACGAAACACATGTGAATTCAATCGCAAATAGGCCGGCATGATTTGCGGCGGATCCTCACCTGTTTCACCACTCCATTTCTCAATTTCACTGGTGCCTGGGGTGCGCTCATGATGCACTCCGTTCCACGATGTTCTTCGAAGAACGGGAAATTCACGATTAATTTATCGGATCTATTAGCGCTCCGCTCGTGCGCTCTCGGATCTAATTATGTATAGCTGCACTCGGGTTCTGTGAATTCTGAGAATTTATCGCTCCTCTTGGTGTGTATTAAAAATACGCGAGGCTACAACTCAGGAGTAAGTTGACATGTTGAACTGTAATCGGTCAGAGAGGCAAAAGCAGGCGGTCACTCACGCTTTCCACGTATCGTGCGGAGAAGTAGTTGCCCGGCACGAGCGCGATCTACATCGAAAACACGCTTGGAAATTTGATTTGGTGCTGATGTGGCAACACGCGACACACAGCACGAGGCACGGTGTCGCGCTCTATGCTCCGACTTTGAACGGACGTGCAGAAGAGAGGTAGACTCGAAATCGCACGTAGACCAATCGGACAAATCAGAGGTTCGTTTCTTTCAATTACATCATCAACGACATCATTATTGATGACCAACCACACGGATAAACATGATAGGTTTGTTCATTTTGTGCATTTCTTACACTTATCAGATCCCTCAAGTCTTTCTTTGACATACGAATGTATTTATCTCGTATTTCAAGTGCAATTCTAGGGAGAATAAAACGAACAAACTTTGTCACACAATTGGCTATCAAATAGAGAGAATTTTTGAAAATTTTTTACTTAGTGGCCAATCATATGACTTTGTGTTTATGTTTTTCTTGTAGGAAAATCTTTAAGGGCCACTTGCTTTAAGGGCCAAACTCTGATTAACTTAATCGTTGATTAAAGGGTTATGATTGGTTATACAAAATGTATAACCAATCATTATACATTTTGTCGTGTAGCATTGTGTAGCATAAAAAGAAAGATATTACCAGAGGTACAATTGGTCACACTGGATTATGTTCTCAAGTTGGCAACCCTTTAATTAACGATTAAGTTAATCAGAATTTGATGCAAGTGGCCCTAAATAAACTTAGAAATAATTAACAAAGAGCCTTGACAATTTTTTTGCAGTATCGACAATTATTGCAAGAATTTTTATCATACGAAAATTTTAGCTTATTCAGACATTATTTCATTATTGAATGGTATACGTAGCAATTTAAAGTAACAATTCTTTCTATTATCAAAACATTTCGTATCAAATATTATCTCTAATATTATATATAATATCATCTAATATTATAAATAATATCTCTAATATTATACCAATGCTATTTATATCTATATAGAGCGCAATTTTTCAAGTTTATTACCATAAGGTCATGTTTATTACCATAAGATCATGTTTATTACCATAAGGTTGAGTCTTCATTATTAATAATTCAAGTGAAGGAAACGATAATTTATCATCACACATCAGTCTTTAATATCATACCTCAAAATCACAAAATTCTCATATACAATATGTATATCTTCATTCATTCATGTATTTCTAAAGTTAGATTTTAAATAGCATTTTCTGTGCATGGTAAATTTGGAATCGATATTTTCTTAGTGAGATTTATTAACCATACATGTTAAAATTATTCTTAATAAGCCTTAAATTAAAATTTTATAAAATTTTTAAATCTATGATAATCTATCTACCATTGAAAAGTGAAACACGCACACTAACAATCACATTCAATTCATCGTAATTATGAACAGCATGAATTTGTCTCATTACATTTTTCTATATATTATTCTAATATTACTACGCATCTAATAAGTTTCTTAAATAAGAAAATTAGAAATATGCAAAAAATGATTGCAGATATGAGAAAGATGCCGTTCACCAAAATAAATAATAGTTTAATATTTGTATCTTTTCATTATCCTTCGCATAAAATAAAAATAGATGCAAATTCTAAAAATAGATATAAACTTATAATATATATAAATGTATGTAAATTTCAAAAACAGTTGAACTAATATGAACATGATATTTAATTATTTTATTAATGGATGTATACTAATCCTGCTTAAAATATATGATAGATGTTGCTGTACATACATATATATATATTTCCTCATCCTACATTTAAAGTTTAAAATATTCTTACAAAATAGGCTTTTCATCGAAAAGAAAGAAATAAACTCAATACACTTAAAGTAATTAAATAGAACAATCTTTTTCTCTAAAAAAATTTTTAAATTTATACAAAATGACTTTTAATTCTAAAGTAAAAACTAATGGAAATTCAAACTTGAAAGTAGAAACTTTAAGTTTTTTAAGTTTTACTTTAAAATTAGATTTGTGCTTAATTGTACTCTAAGTATATAACATTTTTCCTAGTTTTCGACAAGAAAAATATTTTGTAATTTTAAATAGAATTAGTATTAATCAATTAAATGTTTTTCTTTAAGCAAAATATAATACTTTTAATTTTTTATCGATAAATGGATCTAAGTAAAGATTTAATTCATAAATTTTAATCTACTTCTTCCATTCTCAATGACTCTTCCGTATTAGAAGTTTATATCTGTTTTTAGAATTTATATATCTATCCATAGAATTTTATATAGAGGATAATAAAAAAAGGAATTTTCGTGTAAAAAAAAAACGTTAAATATTTTTTTATAATTTTTTATCGATGAATGAGTTAAAGTAAAAACTTAATTTATAAATTTTAATCTACTTCTTCCATTCTCGACGCTTCTTCCGCATCACCCTCCAATGCCGGCACTTCCGTGTCCATCTTCTCATCCTCAGTATTCGGCGTATCCTCATCATCGAAGCCCAAGCCGAGTTTGATCATCCTGTATATTCTAGATGCGTGTACTTGAGGATCTTCAAGCGCAAAACCAGACGACAAGAGAGCAGTCTCGAATAGCAGCATGACTAGATCTTTAACAGACTTATCGTGTTTGTCAGCTTCAGCCTTTTGCCTCAAATTCTCCATGATGGGATGATCGGGATTGATCTCCAAATGTTTTTTCGCGGCCATATATCCCATAGTGGATGTATCTCGGAGAGCTTGTGCCTTCATGATCCTTTCCATATTCGCTGTCCAGCCATACTGTGATGTGACGATACAGCAAGGCGAATCGACCAATCTGTTGGAAACTACTACTTTTTCCACCTTCTTGTCCAGGATATCTTTCATGACTTTGCAAAGATTTTCGAATTTGGCCTTGTCCTCTTCGCGCTTCTTCTTCTCCTCCTCATCCTCTGGCAATTCCAAACCCTCCTTCGTGACTGATACCAACTGCTTTCCGTCGAATTCCTTCAGCTGTTGAACGACGTATTCATCAATGGGTTCAGTCATGTAGACGACTTCGAAACCACGCTTCTTTACTCGCTCTACGAATGAACTGTTGGCGACCTGTTCCCTGCTCTCACCAGTGATGTAATAAATGTGCTTCTGGCTTTCCTTCATCCTGCCAACATAATCTTTAAGCGAGCACATTTCATCACCAGATGCAGAAGTGTGATAGCGCAGCAACTCTGAGAGCTTCTTCCTATTCTGACTGTCCTCGTGGATACCCAATTTCAGATTCTTGCTAAATTGCTCGTAACACTTCTTATAGTTTTCCTTATCCTCTGATAATTCTTCGAAAAGTTCTAAGCATTTCTTAACGAGATTTTTCCTGATGACTTTCAGAATCTTATTTTGTTGTAACATCTCACGAGAGATATTCAGAGGCAGATCTTCGCTGTCTACAACACCCTTGATGAAGTTCAGATATTCAGGGATTAGGTCTTCGCAGTTATCCATGATGAAGACACGTCGCACATATAACTTGATGTTATTCTTTCTTTTCTTGTTCTCGAACAGATCGAACGGCGCACGACGTGGGATAAATAGCAGTGCTCTGAATTCCAATTGTCCCTCTACAGAGAAATGTTTCACAGCCAAATGATCTTCCCAATCGTTGGTCAAGCTCTTGTAGAATTCACCATATTCTTCCTGTGTAATGTCATCAGGATTTCTCGTCCAGATCGGCTTCGTCTTGTTCAATTCCTCGTCTTCGGTGTACTTCTCCTTGATAGTTTTCTTCTTCTTTTTCTTTTCATCTTTGGGCTTGTCTTCTTCTTCATCTTCTCCAACATCCTCGATCTTTGGCTTTTCATCTTCAGTCTCGCCTTCCTTTGCAGGTTCTTCTTCCTCGTCCTCGCTCAATTCCTTATCACGCTCTTTCTCTACAACGAGCTTGATGGGATAGCCGATGAATTGGGAATGTTTCTTCACAATCTCTTTAATTTTTGATTCTTCCAAATACTCGGTTTGATCCTCCTTGATATGCAAGACGATTTTTGTACCTCGTCCAATAGGTTCGCCATTGTCAGGACGAACCGTAAACGAGCCTCCAGCAGAAGATTCCCATAAATATTGCTCATCATCATTGTGCTTCGAGATTACAGTGACTTTGTCAGCTACAAGATATGCAGAGTAGAAACCTACACCAAACTGTCCAATCATGGAAATATCAGCACCTGCCTGCAAAGCTTCCATGAATGCCTTTGTGCCGGACTTGGCAATAGTACCCAGATTGTTTACAAGATCAGCTTTGGTCATACCAATGCCACTATAAAAAAAGAAAATTAATTAATAACAATATTAACATACATTGTATAAATATATATCTCTACAGAAAATTAATACTTACGAATCAAGAATAGTCAGGGTACGGTCATTCTTATTTGGAACAATTTTAATAAATAGTTCTTTGCACGTATCCAACTTGGATGGATCTGTTAGAGATTCATATCGTATCTTGTCCAATGCCTAGATAAATTTATAAAAAAATTAATACATGCATACATAATGCATCATTAACACGGATCGATTTTTTTACTATGCAAAATTTATATTTATTTATTGATTTACATTTACATTATAATGCTTTTTGTAAATTTCTAGATATGTAAAGAAAATGTAATCAATTTTTTTTTTAAATATAAGTATGACGTATTTATCAGAATTTAATAACATATCAAATTATCCCACGTATGCATTGAAACAATTTCGAACAAAGCAATAAGGGCACGGAGGCGTCACTGATTTTTTTTTTATCGATAATACTCGGGCCACTTACATCAGACGAATTGGAGATCAATTCTCGAATAAATATTTCCTTGTTGGAGTAGAAGGTATTAATAATCAAGCTCATCAACTGAGCGATCTCGGCCTGGAAGGCGAAGGTCTCCACCTCGCCGGCATCAGACATGCTGACGTCTTCGGGCATCTTTTCACGATATTATTCGACTGAACGTTAGAGAGACGTTAAATCACAGGTAAATTAAATGCGTACAGATGCACTCGCGTTGTATTCGGCAAACAGCCGAGCTGGACGAGCGAAGGTTTCCTCGAAGCAACGATACGTCTCGCACGCGGTCACTTTACAGAGTATTCAATACTGGCGCGCAGCGGTCGCTTTTATTGAGTGCTGAAGATTCTAGAAGGTTTGAGAACGGAAGCCCGCCCGACTTCTAGAAGCTTCTATCAAAATCGCTCCTCGGGGCCGACTTGGAGTGGGAAATTACGGCCGGTGGCGCGAATCGCGTTGCTGCAAAATTTCGCGGGTCAATTAATACGACGCGTCGCCCGCGATTTTCCGCGAGACGCGCGCTCGCTCGCGTCGACTTGTAGCTTCGTCCCCGCGACTAGCGCGGTGACAGGAAATGACGACGTCCTACTGGGATCTAGAACCATCGCGATAGCTCGAAACGTGCTGCTCGAATAAATGTGACGCGTGCGCGGTGTGGCATCTGCATCGTTTGTGTGCGTGCCTACGCACGTGTAACGTATAATCGACCGCATTTTGGCGTCACGGAATTCCAGGGTTTTGCGATTAACGTATCAAGGATGAATCAGGACGCGAATCATCATCTAGGCGTTTCATAACCATGCCTTGAAAACGACGCAATTTTGCTCTGTCTGTATTTTTTATTTTAATATTTTTTGATCAGAGAATTTTTAAACAATTTTTTCTGACGTAAACGTAGGTGGAATTATAATTTATCCTTGCGTAAATGATCAGTCATGCAATTTCCAAGCCAGATGTCTATGATTAATGATGAGCGTCGTCGATTATTGATTATTTAATTTTTTTAATTATTTTGATATTTCTGGGAAACAGTCTTATCGACACGATCGACATTGACATTTCCGTGTCTCGAGAATATAACAAAAAATTGCCATGTAATTATATGTTTATATATAATATATTGATTCTTGACATGTATAAATCGAATCGAAATGTGTTGATTTTGTCGCGACGCATCGAATCGTTTACTTTGTGACGAAAGCGCTAGAATAAACTTGCACGAACTGCTTCATCTTTTATGCATATTTTGCGTTCCATTGTTACGTAGCATCCGTGTGAACGTTTTTTTTGCAGATTCATGGATCCGGGAATACTTTCCAGATTGATTCCTCAGAACAAGGAGCACGTACGGCCCGCCTGCAAAAAATGCGGATACGCCGGACACTTAACCTATCAATGTCGCAATTTTATCAAGATCGATCCCAACAAAGAGATTGTGCTGGATGTCAGTAGCACGAGCTCGGACAGCGACGAGAATTATGTAACTCCGTTGACAGAATTACGCGAACGTGAGTTGAAGAAGAAGCTGAAGGAGGCCAAGAAAAAGCGCAAGGAGAAGAAATCCAAGAAGAAGCATAAGAAACGCGAGAGCTCGGACAGCAATGACAGCGAGTCCGAGTCAGAAGCATCCAGCGAGGAGGAAAAGAGGCACAAGCGTAAGAAGAGAAAGAAGAGCTCTAAACACAAGAAGCATAAAAAGCACAAAAAGAATAGTTCATCCGAGAGTAACGAGGATAGCGATAAAAAATAAATCGTGGTCGTAAATGATCAGAGACAATTCTTTTGATTGAATCCAATTAACGTTCTGTCATTAAATATTAAATAATTCATGAATGACTATGATATTTTTTATCATTGTATATGCATTCCTCTTTATTATATGTGCTGACTCGACACACAAAAATGTGTAACGCTTTTATTTTTTATCTATAAAAGAGATAACATTTGTAGTTTTGTAACATAAAATTTAACATTGTATATTTTCAGTGATTGCGTCAGAAACTGCGTTTATTCTATAAAATGTCAATTATCCTGCAAATGTGTTTTTTACAGTTTTTATCGACGATTTATTTCTAGATTTATTACTAGATTTCGTTTATTTTCCTGATTGTGAATTTAATTGATCTAATATTCTTGACCTATTTTTCATCGTATTCCGCAGTTTACAATAAAAATTATATGTTGATAGATGTGCGTTTTGCTCGCAGTTTTTAAAATTTCCTGCATTAAAGTAAGATGGATATATCTTTGGGCATTAAAAAGAGAGAGGAAAAACGAAAACTGAGTGTAGAGAGTACATACAAGAAAAGCAAACAAATTTACATCTTGCTTGAATTACCTAAAACATAAAGACAACATTACATTAGTCAAGTTTCTAGACATAACTGAAAGAAAAAGAATCCAAGCACAGGATTGGTCTAAATCAGCGGACTCAATAGTTGGGCAACATTACTAGATTTTCCGATGCAATTGACGCTGATTGGTCGGAACTAAAAGTAGAAACCAATCGTATTTGATTACTTTGCAGTTGAATCCACTGAATGCGGTCATTATAAAATTACTGCTTGTGTCAACCAATCCGATGCATTTAGGTCATCTACGTCATTTTGTATTGCTCCACAATATTTCGTATCTGCTCCGGGAAATACAGGTAAAATATTCCTCCTTTAGGAGCTTAGGCAGTCATTTAGAATAAGAAAAAGAAAATATTACGATTTATTAACAACAATGACGCGACATGCGAGGAATTGTACTGCGGGTGCTGTATACACATATCACGAGAAAAAAAAGGATGCTGCGGCGTCAGGGTATGGTACCAATACTCAACGAGTGGGCAAGGATTCCGTCAAGGATTTCGATTGCTGTTGTTTGACTCTACAGCCTTGTAGGAATCCGGTGATAACGTACGTATCTTATGAATATATGGATTTGTTTATTTTTGTTATAATCTATATTGTTACAGCAAGCATGGTTATTTGTTTGATAAAGAATCGATACTAGAATACATTTTGACTAAAAAGAGAGAATATTCAAGAAAATTGAAAGAGTATGAAAAACAGAAGCAAAAGAAAGAGGTAAGCGAGTTGTTTTGAAAATTCATTGAAAAGTTAAACTAATCAATACAGTATTTATATTACTTGATATATTTGTTATAGGAACAGTCCCAAGAACAAACTGTTAATGAAGAATTAAAAAAGCTGCAGAATTTTTTAAAGGGTGAAAAGACTATTGTGTCAAATGGTTCTAATGCAAGAGATGGAGCATCGGTGTCCAATATGAAAAATGGCAAAGACAAAGTACTACCAAGCTTCTGGATACCTTCTAAGACACCGGAAGCGAAAGAAATCTCTTTACAAAAACCTGACAAAACTATCTACTGTCCTGTCAGTGGAAATCCATTGAAAGTAAAAGATTTGATTCCTGTAAAATTCACGCAAGTTCAAGATCCAGATGACAAGAGATCGCTTATTGTTAAACAAGCACGATACATGTGTCCCATTACACACGATATCCTGGGCAATAATGTACCTTGTGCTGCGATAAGGACAACGTAAGATAAATGAATTTCTAATTTCTTTTGCAAATTGCAAATATTAATTTTATATTATATAGCTGTTTAAATATTTTGTGTTTGTAGCGGTGACATAGTTACTATGGAATGTGTGGAAAAATTGATAAAGAAGGACTGGATTAATCCTTTGGATAATTCTAAACTGGCATCATCTGATATTATCCCTTTACAAAGAGTAAGTAGTACAGATATAATATCGAGAAGAATTTGGTGTATATATATATATATATATATATATATATATATATACACCAAATTCTTATAATATATATATATATATATATATATATATATATATATATTAATAAATATATATATATACCAAATTCTTATAATATATATATATATATATATATATATATATATATATTAATATATATATATTAATATATATATTTATATATATATATATGTATGTAACTAAAAAATATATCCAAGTATGTCTATCATTTTTTAGGGTGGTACTGGCTATGCATCTGTTAATGATTCATTAGAAGGTAAGCACGAAAGGCCGGTATTACAAGCATAAGAAACAATTTACACAACTTTAACTTTATGGTACTTAGATTTAAATAATGTAATTAAGAATGTACAAATTAGATTAAGATCTGGAAATTAATTAAGTATTAACTAGTATTTATGTATTTTATTAATAAATTTTTTCAAGTATGAGGAACATGATATATACATTACAATCATTTAATTCAATTAACAGAAATTACAATTATAAAATACATAAATGCATACAAAATATATAATGCTTGTATATGCGCGATTCTACCAAAAACATTTAATACATCGTCTTCAAATTCGAATTTGCATTAACACACAATTTCGGAATTTTATGCATTTTATTAAAATTAAATAAAATATATATTCACAGACAAAAAAGAGATTCCGAATTGATTTTCTTTCATATATAAAAAAGAAGAAATTAAATAAAATGTAGAGATATCAAAAGCAGAAATCAGCACACGATATCTGCGACAAAAATAATATAAATATGTAAACATTGCCTTGAATTGGAAAAAATTAATTTTATCTTAACGCTGATCGTTTCAATATTCTCATATTTTTAGAGTCGTATCGCGAAAAATTCATAAGAAAAAACGAAAGAGAGAAGAAAACTTTTGAAAAAACCCTCCTCCCCCACCCTACGCCTAATTCCAAGATGTCGGCTTGGACGAGAGGGCAGTGGCGACATCTCGGTCGGATACAATTCTCCGGAGGGAGTTGGTGAGAAACACGCGCGCTCCGCCGGGTAAGCGGCAATCTGCGGGTCGACGATTCGAGTCCCGCGCGCGTTCGAAAGACGACGGTGCGTTAGGTGCGTGCACGCGTATTTCTCTGCCGCGCGGTTTCGCGCTCAAACGTCGCGGGCGCGCCGGTGTGTCATGTGGATTTACGTCGCGTCGCCGAGGACGGACGGAGCGACTTGGAGACGTCGAACGACGGCGACATCGGCGACGGGGGAGAGGTGAGTGCGGGTGCGAGTGCAAGTTTCCCCGATTCAACTTTCGCGATTCCCGGAACGACCGGCGACCCGCGAGTTATCGCGCGACGCGAGAGCGTCCCCGGCGTCCTGTGTCCTGTGTCTGTTTGTTCGCGATAATAATAAAGTTACGCGAGCAGTTTTACTCGAGTCAATTCCGGAGCGCGGCGACGATTTCCCCTCGGGTTTTCGTAGCGCGACGAACGACTATGACACTCGCGGCCGACGATATAAATACGTAAGTAGGACATGTAAATGCATCGATTGTGCGGGGTGCAAAGTAGCCGGGGTGGAAGAATCTCGCGAGCAACTCTGCATAATTTGATTATCCGCCAGTTGTTTTATATATGTGATGGAAGCCTGCGAAAGGTAGCGTAAAAGTTAAAGGGAGTGTTTTTCCTTCAGATGGCGTTTTTTTCACCTCTCTTTTTCAAACGTTTTTTTTTAATTTTATTCTTAAAATGTCTTTTTGCTCACATCCCTTATACAATTTTATGAGAGTCGACGTTTCTAGCAAATTACATCAATCGGTCCCTCCTTTGGTCCACGACTGCAAATTTACTTGAATAAAAAAGCGCGGGAAGGCGCGAGGTCTTCGCCGCATGACAATGCGACGAGTGTCATCTGACATGACGCGTGTGCATATAATCGAACAAAATCGGGATGATTCGAAATGAACTTCCATAATAATATCCTTTCCATCAATCTTACCGGATTTTTTTTATACGTGACATTGTTTAGCGTTCTTATCATCCGTTTCAATTTGTAATCCGCGCAATTGAAGCGAGCGAGCGGTTCAATGGCTCAAGGAACTGAAGGCGACACATATCGTGTCGCATATACAGTAGTTCGTGGCGATGACATAACGTCGCGTCTCTTATCGCGACACGCGCACGCATACGCGTGTAGTATACTCGAGCCGTGATACTTCATCGCGCGCGCGCGCGCACGCATGCGTCCGTGTGTCACGCATGCACTTTGCATCCAGAACTCGACCTGGACTCGAGGCTTTTCCAAACAAACGTGCGCGTAAGTTTCCTGTACGGGGGATGGATTTTAAAAGATAGATTCTTTGCATGCGCTGAGATTTCAAGTTCGTCCTTGCTCTCGGTTGAAAGTTGCTTTTTCGATAGCATGTAAGAAAAAAATTCGGCTCTTTAATTAGATCGATTAAACTCGAGCGAGGTTAATGAATAAGAAAAATAGAGACCGGTTTAAAGAGGAAATAAGTAGAATATTAATTTGTAATGGATTATGCAAAGATAAACGAAGCGATTGGAGATAAAATGAAAATCCATATCACGTTTTTTTAAAGTAATCAAAAGTAATTTGTTAAGTAAGCCCCCTCGATAATTCGCTGAAAATTTATCATTAACACTTGACCCATGTTCATTCAGGAATATTGTCGCAAGAACAGAGCAAATCGACGCGTCATGTCGCTCTAGATGCATTCGACCGACATCGCGGAATATATAAGTGAAAAATTATGCTATGCATATCAGTTGGCTTGTTGCATAATGGTTAAAAACGATGAGATACACAGAACTAGCGGCGATTATATAAGCGGCAAACTAGTTGTGAAAAGCTCGGGAAAATATATTTTACACGTGCGAGAAATTTTATAGCTCTCGCATGGGCGAATTGATTTTATTTCTAAAGGATTTTATTTTAACCTAAAAATCCTTCCATTATGTAAGGTGTCATCGGAAAATTATTAAATATATATATTCAACGCTTTTTATTTTCTCTTTAGGCTCAGCAATATTCTTTCTTCAATATAATATCGTACAGAATCTTTGTTCCTTAAAATTTGTTTACTAATTCGAATCGATCTTTTAAAAAACCAAATAACGTTATCTACTTCACGTATCGTCTGTTACATCGATCTGTTACATAATTCGAAGAATAGCTTGAAGAACGATTCCATTATAATAACAATATGGGTATTTGACCGGTAAATTTCCGGTATCTTTTATGCATTTATCTGCTTTCTTCAGCGCTCCAATCCCCGAGATATCGAATTATCAAAACTTGCGTATAATTAAGCGACGAATAACACTTCTCTTAAAACTTAATAAAAAAAAGACATTAAATGTTCAATAATTTATATATCGAAAACACATTGTGTATAAATTTCTTCATATGTTTTCACAAAGATAAAATCAATTTTAATTTTAACGCGTTGCGTTACAGATTTATAGTGTTGAGATTTGAAATTATCAGACACACGCTTCTGCTCCACGCATATATCTATATCCATATCGATGCAATCGCGATACGTATACTTTCACCGCGCGCGACCGATATCGCTCGCATCCGCGAAATCCTGGACGATTTTTCCGAGCGACGCGTATTACCCCAAGAAGCAGATTACTTATTCAAGGTTGATCGGGGAAGCCATCGTCCACGCTGGCAGCCTCGCAAGTGTAATCGATGATTCAGTTTTCCCGTCTCTCCGCTCTCGCGATTCCGCGCGGTCTCAGACCGATATCGTTACGTAACATTTCGCGATCCGAGCGTGGACGGATCGTTTCAATCGTGACCGACCGACAAAGAAAAGTATTATATATCGAAAGCGCGATTACGTCAATTTGCGCGACACACGTGACACGATTCTCACTCGCTTAAGGATCGTTTCGTACGATCCTTGGGAGTATCTTGAATGGTCGAAGCCGCGACTCCGCGAGAGATGCATCGGCGAGATGCGTCACCTTTCACGCCTCGAATGAATAGATGCGGAAGATATTTCGGCGGGATTGACTAATCGATCGCGCAGACAGGAATGCAGATCGATCTTAAATCCGAACGTAGGGTTTTGGGTTGCACGCGGGTCGCGGAAGGGGCTGCCTCCCGGTGGGAAAATGACCGCCGCGCCGTGCTCGAGAATTGCTTTGATATGAGGTAATGCGCACCGCAAAACACGCAAGAAGCATTACGTAACGTTTAAAGTGTGTATGTGCGACGGCGGCGACCGCGATCGGCGTGTGTTGTACTTTAGTATATTTATTATTAAAGAGCGCGAAGAAAGAGAGAGAGAGAGAGAGATCTCGTAGCCGCAGTTTCCGCCCTAAAGAAAAAGACCGGCTCGATTTCCAATCGATCGCGGTGACGGATTCCGATCGGTGGCGAATAATTTATGACGGGCAATTAGCTGTAAATGTCGCGGTTTAAATTCTGTCTCTGAAACGCACTTTATTCGAAAAGCGTTTGACTTTATAATCTCTCGATAAGCATTTTAAGAAATAATGTATTTTGAAAAATCGAATTTTTGTACAAATTCCTGTAAAATAGCACATGCGGCACACATGTTTATTGTATTATATATAAATCATGTTTACAATTATAATTATTTATATATAAAATTAATATATTATATTAATATTAATATATTAATATATGTTAACATCTCCTCGATGCTTTTATTAAAATATTATTATACTCTATGTATAAAAAATATCTTGCTTTTATATTATCTCTCTATCAATAATTTATTTTATGATTCAAGTTGGCTAATTTTCGAATTGTCAAAGTGTGGTCAGTTTTTTCTATCATTCATATGCAGCGAGCTAGATGGCCGGAGGGGGAGATATAAATTCCGGCTAGCCGCGAACTGCATACACACACATACACACACAAGTCTCAAAAGGTCAAAGTATTTCAAATGCAAATCGCATTACGCCGGAAAGGGTAATACCGGCCGGCTTTCCGTTGAAGTCTACGCGGATCCGCGCGTGCGATAATTATTTTTGCGCGCGACGATGAAGAGAGATGCGCGCGAAACGTCAAATGCGCTTGCTCGTATTTCGGATTGCGCATTTTTCGCGGCGATAACGTCGTGATGTAAGGACGGACTCTACTTGATCGCTCTCCCATAATCACCGCGGGACAATAATCCGAAATTACTTCTTCAATCATATGTCTCCTATCGGTAACGATATATTCGCAACGTCGCAAGCGTTCAATTGTCGACACGTGTCCTTGCGAGGCTGCGCGATGATTATACGGGTTCAGTAATTTTTTTCCGTTCTTTTCGTGGATTATGATTTTTTTGCGCGAATGCAACGAATCGTAGCGGGTCGATTAGTCTAATATATGATATCAATCGATTAGTAACATAGTATATTAATATGATTTATGATGTCGGATCGATTAGTAATATATAGTATATTAATATTAATCTAAGAAAAAAGCGCGTATTTAGAATTTACATAACGGAATCATTGCGAATGTTACGTTACGGCCTTGATTGCGTGTGTGCGTGCGTGTTTTTACGTCACAGGTCAAGCACATGAAGTGAGCATGGAAGGCGGCGAGTCGGATATCGGTGCACCGCACTTCAGTGGCCGAGGATTACGTAACTGTGCATTGATAAGGAAATAAGCGAGTCGGTTCGCCTTGACATTGGCGACACGTGAGCGCGATCCGGCTGTTTTGTCGGAAGATCGGTATTCGCAGCGTCTTGTCACCGACGTGTTCTTACACTAACGCGAAAATCAACGTTTATGTGACACGCTTTTGTGAATAGGCTAATAAATATTGACATTTTTTTCTCTCTGTTGCTTATTCCGCGAGAATATTACATAATATCATTTTTATCTCGCGTTATCTTTACTTCTAAAGTTGCTTAGGGTTAATATTTTTAACGTCAAGTATTTTCTTTTCTTTTGCCTTGCGACATAATCGGGATTTCTCTTCCTTCACGGTCCCTCTTTTTCTCTCGTTAAATCCGCGACAGGATAAAAAGGATTCGAGTCGATCGATTTCCGAACACAGGTGTGCGATTTGCACGTTTCTACAAGAAGGGTGCTAACAAATTGCCGTCAGCATCTGTGACACTTTTGTTCTCTCTGCATTTGTTATAAACTTTTTCCTTGAACTGTCTTTCGTTGCATCTTGCACGATGATATAACGTAATAATCATCAATGAAAATTAATGTTACGTATGCGTTATTTTTTTTTTTTATTAAATAATTCTGTCACAATTTATATTCATAGTTATAGATTACGTAAAATAATAATTATCACTATTGCGGTTTATGCTCGTGGAATAATTTTGTCGTATTATTCAAAATCATATCTCTCTCGCCTAATTTCTCCAGGTAAATGTTTTCGACGTTACCAAACGATATTGAATCCCTTCTTGCGTTAATAATATCCTAAACCGGGACGAGCACACAGGTAGACAGAAAGGGTTGTTTTTATAATTCGTTAATGTGACGACAATAGGGGATGTCGCCGGCAAGACATGATCTGTTAAATGCAGACTCTCATAATGTTTATATTACGTGGTTAAATTACTTCACATTGTGTTGCCCGCTTATATAACTGGAATTTCGAGAAACGAGCAAATGTGTTAACGTTATGCGTGCCTAAAGGGTGCATCTTTTCGGAGAGCTTCGCCGAAGTACAATACATCAAGTACAATACATTTTAATTTTTCTTTAAGCGCGATGGAAATTTTCAATTAACTCGTAGGAAATTATTTTAATTATGAATTTTCTCTTTTATAGATATCGATACTATGAGGCCTCACGAATGGATGCGTAGCACATCCCGAAACAGATTCGAAGGTACGATTGTTGCTTACGTATGATTGATGCTTTCAATCTTTATTTCGCATCCTAAGAAAAATTAATATATTTATAAATTAATATATTTATAAATAATGTATTTATAAATATATTTAAAAATTAATATATTTATAAAAATTATTTAAAAAAATATATATATATATATATATTTTTTTAATTTATAAACAATAAATATGTGCGGTTAAAAATTAGTCGTAAAGTGTTCGCATGTTACATACATTCGCTGGCAAAAAAAAATAGAAAATCTTTTTACGCGGTCACAAATGAGGAATCAATTTTTCTCTTTAAAGGCGCAGATGCTTGTTGCGATGTGACAATGAAGGATAAAGTTCTAACAAGCGCTCGTTACACCTGACATAACGTTTATACCTCGTTACAACGCTCACATTGTGCATCGGATCATTATAATTCCCGGAAGCGTAATATTTACGTTTACAATATTATTTTATGACAGGCAAATTGTATTAGATTTGCGAATAAGTTCTGTCATTCATTCGATTATATCGCCATAAATAGATTTAATCATGTTAATTTTTTACAAGCATCAACGTCAATTCTTATTGCAAATCACATGTATTTCAAGCAAACAGATGTCTTATTTATTTTTTTCTTATCCTATTTTGTTTCTATTTATGAAATATTATTAGTTTCCTTTCACACGTGCGTTATTTTGCTGGATCTTAATTTATTTCATAATTCATCGTCTTGTTCATTTGAGCATAAAGTTTACTCATCTTGTTCCTTTCGCGTCTCGATGCACAAACGATAAATCGTCAGAGACGATGGGCGTCCAATTATAAAAATTCGCGCGACCGGTGTGAATCAATTAAGATTTAATAATTCTTTTCGCGATGCGATTTAATAATTCTTTTGCTTGCAGGCACTGGTACGGTCCAGTCAAATGAATGGACGTATGGAAGGGCTCGATACGAATCTAAAGGTGAGATTGTTATCATTATATTTCGTTAATTATTTTCATGTTTTAATTATCAAGTAAATTAACATTATTTTCTCGATAACACATCAGAGAATTTACATTACTGAGGGAGAGATAATAAGAGTGATATGAGCGTTGTCACTAGACGTTACGTGGCGATAGAATGACACAATGATTGTACTTGTTTCTGAGAAAGTATTGTGTTACGTAGAGAAGATGGTCAGTGTCAGTTTACCAATCAATGTTGAGAAACGAATTCCGGAATTGCTGGTCAGTTCGGAATTTAAGGATATAATCGACATTCTCGACGGTAATCAAAGTAAGCTGACACTCTCGAAGGAGTATACAAGCATTTCAATGCGTTCTCGATTATACCTGACGCATCAATTAATGACGTTAATGATGTTACGTCAATTATGTCGTTTTGCGATTTTTTATAGTTGGACTGATATAGTATAATAAGATAGTTCAACCTCGATATGATGTTTTTATAAATCCATTCACTTTATTGAAAAGATATCGATATACATCCTTGAATATTTAATGAATATGTAAGGAAGTATAATTACGCGTATGTGTGTGTGTGTGTGTGTTAATTATATATGTATAAGAATGTATAAGAAGAACGGCCAGAAATTATAGTATCAATTTATCTTGTTTTAACAGAAAAGAAACTTTGAAAATATATTTAAGATATATATTCTAATTTTTTTCATTTTTTTTCATAGCAGGCAACTGATATATAGATAAAATAAATAATTCTAGATAACAGAAAGAATAAAATTACTCTTAATAATTTTTATTCACGACTTATATCGATAGTTTGTTGAGCGGCGTATTTTTCGAAAATGCGTTATCACACTCCAGGTAACAAAGAAATGTTGCGCGTTTTATTTTCCAATTTCGTCGGCGATAAGCACTAACAAAGGTCAAACATCGTTATTGAAAATCCGATGCTTTCCGCCGAATAATTGGATAAGCGCACGCGCGCGCGGAGAGCGCTATGAAATCACTGAAAATTAATCGACGGGGTAAAGAGGAGGAGGGGGAGTTGATCTCCGGTTGCCGAAAAATCACGCTAATGAATGGACGAGACAGATTTAGTCCGAAGAAGGGGAAGAGAGGATCGCCAGCACGGCTGCGGTCACTTCAAACGTCAATGCCAATCGTAAACCGGGTCGTATCGCGCACAAGCGTATTGATGATAACAATTACCGCTCTGTTACAAACGGTTCCGGTCAGTGCAGATGTGCGCGGCTGAGGCAGGCTTAGCCCGTTGTAATTAACGCTAATTAATACAGCGCGATTGCGAGTCGGAATCTCGGCGACGCCCGTTCAAAGGATCGAGGGCGCGATCGAGAAAGGACACGAGTATCCCTCTATGTGCGGAATTTAATCCGTTTTTTTTCGTAACCATAATTTTGCACGTACTACATCCTACGCATTTTCTGACGATTATGATACAGTCGAGTAGGATTTACTTCTTTTTTTTATCAGAGAAACGGACAATATCGCTCGTGTATCGAGATCGTTGATAAATGTCAAAAGTCTCTACTTTCTTGTTATTAAAATTTGCGTGTGTCTGACGGTGCTTTGAATATGTTCTTTAGCGGCTTGTCATGCATAATAGCATGTGAAATATCACCAAATAAGAGCCGGTTACTAGTTGTTTGCAAGCCAAGTAGCAAGACGTTGGAATTAAAACGGCAATTTACGTCGGCATTCAATTGGCAAGCTAATATCGATGTAGAATTAAGTTAGCACGGTATTTAAGAAGCGCTGACAATCAAGATTACTATATCTCCAATCATCAACGTCAACATAATATATCGATAATTAATAGAAAGTCTTGTATGGGAGAAGAAGAATGCAGTCGCGCAAAAAATTAAAGCGATATTAAAAATTTCTCGCAAATGGCGTACCTTGTATAGCGACGGTTATTATTATTGCCGATATTAAGCGAATTGCGCGCAACAGTAAACCGGTTAGTCGAAGGTTGACCATTTCGAACGTTTCTGTAAAAGTAAAAGATAAACTTTAGCATGATATTTAAGAAGCGACGAATGCATTTTATATAAAAATAATTGTGGGCTGAGAAAGAGACGCCAACCATTTGCTTCGTGCCTTTTCCTTCACGTGTAATATTAAAATACTAGCTATCTCTAATTATTATTATTTAGTCAAATTGTGCAAAACGTTAAGGGTAATTAGCGTTAGTTGATCGGCTTTAAATGCATACCTATTATTCCATATTATATGATGAAACGTCATGTATTAATTAATGTTACGATGGCGTAAAATATTAAATCCATTTAAAGGTATAGGAAAGATAGAATTTACACATTTTTATCAAATTTCCTTTTCCTGTGCAGGAAAATTTACATACACGTTGATTTTATTTGCATTAATTTTACTTGCAGTCATTTAAAAAAACTAATAATTTTTGAATCTCGATATAAAATCAAGAATATGCAGATTAAATTCTATAATGCTCGAAAAATGTAATAAGCATTTATGAAAGACACTATATATTTATAAATTACATGTTATAACTTACATTACGTAGCCGGCTGATTGCTACCGTTATATCTGATTTCTCAACTTATAAACAGGTAGTAAAGAAATCACGAGATACATTTTTCTCTGATTGCACGTGCAGGTTCGCGTTAATGATACATTTCTTTCATAGTGAATTATTATCATTTAATTATTTTGACAATATAATTTTTAATAAATTCTGACAATCTAATTTTTAATAAATTCTGACAATCTAATTATATTTTACGCTGACAAGTAATACGACGTATTGTTACACACTTTTAATTTCTTTAACAAAACTATATATAATTTATCTCGTGTCTTCTTGTATTTATTTTCAGGAATCAAAGATAAAAAATAGGTTGATAAAACGTCAAGTTTATTTGAACGTAGAGGGAATGATATTATGATTATATTATCACATATTTCTATCTAATAAATTTTTTAACATCACAAATATTAGCGGATTGGCTACATCATGTCAAATGATCGATCGATCCCAAGCAAAGAACGCGAAATAGAATTTCCGCATTTAAAAGAATTCTCGTGACGTATCCTCCCTGTCGCGACCTCCTCCCTCTCGCGTGCGAGGGTGGTGACGGGGGTATGACTCGTCGTTGCGGGGGTGATTTCGCGGCGCAGGGCGGTTTTAGTCACTCCCACCTGTGTCGGTATTATGCGACCACGTGGTATCTGCGCCCCGGTGTACCTCAGTCTGTTGACGGCACCTCTCTACCGTCGTCATCATCGTTGGCGGACGCACTTCCATCGCCGCCGTCACCACCGTCGCTACTACTGCTACCACCATCACCAAACTGTCATCATCATCATCTACCCACGTTCTCAGTGTCAAACGCCGGACGACAGCGCCTGTTTATGACAAGTGCGTTGCCTATCGCGCGACGAGTTCGAGGGAAGAGATCTCCTTCCGCGATCAGCTAAGTTTTCATTGGACGCATTCCTCAAGATACCTTGTAGTCTTTTCAGAGAAGAAATTTCGACGCATCGGTACCAGTCTCCGTCTTCTCCTTTCGCAGATTAACCGGCTGTCATTTGCTCGGCGTCACGTGCCGGCAGCGGAAACTCGCGATACGACTCGAAATCGACACGACCCCGTTGTCGGCGTCGTCGTCGTCGTCGAGGAGGCCCGATCTTCGAAATACGAAGGTATCGCCCGCCAAGAGGGAAGGCGACAGACCTTCTGGCCTCTTCGAGGATGCCGCCGTCTCCTCGTCGTCGGCGACGACGTGGATGTATACGCTTCTCGGTAAGAGGTTTCCCCCCAGTTAAACGTTCGCGATGTGCGGAGCATAATTTTTTTCCCGCGAAGATTCTTCCTGCCGAAATGCCGTAGATGATAAAAATGACTTGAAAGAATTGTCTTGATCTCTACGTCTATCTCAGGATAATTATCTCGTGAGATTCATTTTTCGCAGTCCTTCGAAAAATTGATTCAATATCTGACGCGTAATATTTATTAATTACACGTTTAATAATGTTAAGAAAATTTATTCAATAACAACTATTTAAGTACATGTTTTGCATGTTTATATTCCTAGACGTCAGTGAACACTAATGATAGTATAATTGATGGCAAACATTTATATTTTTACTCTCATTATAGATCTGTCAAATTAAATCGTCATCATGTATCAATTATTTTTGCAAAAATTAAAAACGATTTCGATAATGATATTTAATTAAACAAAATCGGATAGGGTTAAGTATCTTTTTATCGGACTAGTTTCCTACAATTGAAAAACCTGTGTTAGTAATATAGTAATGTATAATTTGCCATCTATCAGATGCAATTTTCGTTAATGTATCAGTATTTTAATAATAATTGTTGGAATATCTTTCATCATCTTAGATATTATTTCCTTTTTTATTACGGAAAATATAGTAATGTTAGTTTTTGAGTCGATTTTTTTTTTATTCGGATCACGAAGAATATCTTTTACCTTTTGAAACTTGGTTGTTCTCAATCATCACTCGATAACGTAATGAACGTAATTCGTTTTCCATTCAAATGACAGCTCTTCGAGATTCAACAATGCCATTCAATGCTAAGATACTTACTTTGTCATTTCGCAAATTAATACTATCATTCTCTATTGATAAAAACCCGTTAACGATAGAAAAGCGTTATCAAAGATCGCGGCTCCTAGTTAAAATCATTATTGCTATTATCTCAATCGTTTGCACGCGATTACATTCTGGGAAATTTGCGACATCAAATACTCCAAGCCAAAATATTATTTACATTGTGTGATAAAGATTTTTATCGTAGTTTTATTGTAAAGTTTTACTACGATTCTGTCGATCAGTATATGCATACACAGAGAAAAATATACTATATTCAAGTAAATATTATTTATTTTAAGTATATCATAAGTTTGTATATCCGCAAATATATCATAAGTTTAACACAAACAAGTTTAAATTTAATTGAGTATATTCTGAAT